TTTCCTGCTCCCCCTGCTCATGCACTCTTCGTCTCTCTCAAATAAACAAATAAAACCTCTTAAAAAAAATTAAAAAGAAAAAGAATTGAAAAATTCAACAAAGTTTTGAAAATTTCATTTCATTGCTAATATTCGCTGGTTTCTTATTATACCAAAAACTCTGTCTTCCAAGTCTTTTGTTATGGTAAACTATATGTGGTAAAATATACATGTCATAAAATTTACTGTTTTACCATACATTACGCACATTTACATTGTCTTCAACCATCATCACCCTCCATCTCAAGAACTTTTTTGGTCTTCCCAAAGTGAAATTCTGTACCTGTTTTATACGTCCCCATTCTTCTCTGCCCCAGCGCCTGGCAACCACCATTCTACTTTCTGCCTTAGAATTTAACTAGTTATGTCATATAAGTAGAATTCTATAATATTTGTCTTTTTGTTTCTGGGTTATTTCACTTAGTATGATGTCTTCAAGGTTCTTCCGTGTTGTAGTATGTGTCAGAATTTCCTTCCTTTTTAAGGCTGAATAATTTTCCATTATATGTATACAGCACATTTTGTTTATCCATTCATTCATGATGAACATGGATTGCTTCCACCTTTGGCTTCTGTGAATAATGCTGCTATGAACATGGGTGCATAAATATCTGTTCAGCTCCCTGCTTTCAGTTCTTTTGGGTTTGTACCCAGAAGTGGAGTACTGGATCATATAGTGATTCTATTTTATTTGTATATATATAAATTATTTATTTATGAGAGACAGAGAGAGAGAGAGAGGAAGAGGGAGAAGCAGGCTCCCCGTGGAGCAGGGAGCCTGATACGGAACTCGATCCCAGGACCCCAGGACCATGACCCGAGCTGAAGGCAGACACTTCAACTGACTGAGCCACCCAGGTGCCCCTATTTTTTATATTTTTATGGGGCTTGAACTCACAACCTTGAGATCAAGAGTCACATGCTCTACAGACTGAGTCAGCCAGGCACCCCACTATTTTTTATGTTTTGATGAATCATTGTACTGTTTTCCATCCATAGCTGCATCATTTTATATTCCCACCAGCAAAGCACAGGGGTTGTAATGTCTCTAGATCTGCACCAACAATTATTATTTTGTTTTTTGACAGTAGCCATCTTAGTGGGTATGAAGTGCACCCAAATTTTTTAAAAGTAACTTTTTGCTAGGGAAAATTTCCAGCATATAAAAAGATAGAGTGAATGCTAGTCGCACTGCTGTGCGTCTCACCTCACTTCAGTAGTTAGGAACACTTGACTGATCTTATTTCAGTTAGTTTGCGCTTCCTACCCCATTATCGGAACATGGGTCCCAGTCTTCATATACTTTTTTACCCCTATTGTGAAAAGCAGGAAATAAACATAAATTTTTTAAAAGATTTATTTATTTGAGAGAGAGAGAGAATGTGAGAGCAAGGGGAGGGGCAGAGGGAGAGGGAGAGAGAATCCTCAAGCAGACTCCCCACTGAGCACAGAGCCCAACATGAGGCTTGATCCCAGGATCCTGAGATCATGACCTGAGCCAAAATCAAGAGTCGGTTGCTCGACTGACTGAGCCACCCAGGTGCCCCTATAACCATAAAATTTTAATGTTATGAATGTTACTGCAAATTTTACTTGCACCATTGTTCTGCCTTTCATTCAGTGATCATAATTCCTTTTTTTTTTTCCTAAAGTAATCTCTACACCCAACATGGGGCTTGAACCCACCATCCCAAAAGAGTCAGGTGCTCGTCAGTCAGAGGACAATCATCATATGGTTTCACTTATATATGGAATATAAGAAATAGTGCAGAGGACCACAGGAGAAGGGATGAAAAACTGAATGGGAAGAAATTAGACAGGGAGACAAACCATGAGAGACTGTTGACTCTGGGAAATTGAGGGTTGTAGAAGGGGATGTGGGTGTGGGGGGTAGGGTAAGTGGGTGATTAGCATTAAGGAGGGCACATGATGTGATGAGCACTGAGTGTTATATGCAACTAATGCATCAGTGAATACTACATCAAAAACTAATGATGTACTATGTCTTGGCTAAATGAATGGAAAAAAAAAAAAGGAGTTAGATGCTCTACCGATTGAGCCAGCCAGTGATCATAATTCCTGTGTCATTATTAACAAATTTCTTTGTAGCATCATTCTTGCTCTCATGCAGTGCAGATATAGATGTACTTTACATATGCCCTTCACCTACCCTTGCCTTCTTGCTTATTAAAAATTTATTCATGGGGGACGCCTGGGTGGCTCAGTTGTTAAGCATCTGCCTTTGGCTCAGATCATTATCTTAGGGTCCTGGGATCGAATCCGCATCGGGCTCCTAGCTCAGTGTGGAGCCTGCTTCTCTTTCTGCCTGTGCTGCCTGCTGCTACCCCTGTTTGTGCTCTCTCTCTCTCTCTCTGACAAATAAATAAATAAAATCTTTTGAAAAATTTATTCATGGGTAAAATGAAAAAATATACAGTAGCTGTGATCACAAGTTGCAGTCATTTGTAAGCTCAACTATAACAGCACATCAGTAACTATTGAAAGAAGTCATATTAGAATGGAAGACTGAAACAACATTATTATAGACATAACCTTGGATTGGTTCTAATTTCTTTAAAAAAATATTTTCATTCATGTGTACCTCAGTATAGTGTATACCTCAAAGTTAAGGACTCCTTTTTTTTTTTTTTTAACATAACTATAAAACCATATGATACCTAAAAATAAACAATCCTTTTATCATCAGTTATCCACTTAGTATCACCCATATCTTTATGCCCAGTTTCTTTTAATTCAGTGGTATGGGAAATGAAAAGTTGACAAATCACTCAAAGAGAACAATTTACACTGGTAACCAAGATGTAGTACTTTTGTGTGTATTAGAGTTTTTGTTAACTCTGTGAGCAAGACGTCTAGTTTTAATACTCCTTTCTTCTTTAAACCATTAATTTTCCTTCTTTCTATTATTTGTTGGCATTTGTATATACCATAAACAGTACAGTAGGCCACTTCCTTTAATAAATAAGGTGAGCCTTGTTCTGGGCTTACCTTCTGTTTGATTTATGTTAATGTGTTTATTTAAACTTACCATTTTTAGGAGTTCTAGAAGATACACATAAAGGCAGGACTCAGGATGAAATTTTATCTACAAATGTATATATCTGATAGGATTTACTGGTAGAGATATTTACATTTTGGCTTTTTGGAGGTGGGGAATGGTAACTGGGCATTTTCAACTATGCCTTTTCCTTTTTTTTAAATTTTAAGATTTTACATATTTATTTGAGAGAGAAATTGAAAGAATGAGTGGGATCAGGGGCAGAGACAGAAGCAGACTCCCTATGGAGCAGGGAGCCCGACATGGTATTCGATCCCGGGACCCTGGGATTGTGACCTGAGCTGAAGGCAGACACTTAACCAACTGAGCCACTTAGGCACCCATAACACGCAATTATTAACTCCTTTCCTTCCTTTAATTTTTTAAATTTGTGCGGAAGACTGCAATGTACAGTATGTGCTACAGAACTTTATAATGTTAGGAGGACATCTTATTCAAGATGTACAAAAAAAAAAAAAAACACCCTGTGATTTAAGATTCCATCAGTTTTCGGGTGTGAGAATGCAAGTCTGTTGTCAAGTGCAGATTAAATGAGTTAAAGGCAGAGCTGGTTCTTTCCCTATGGCTCTTTATATTTCTTCTGTGCACTATTTTACTAATTAACAATTTTCTTTTACTTGAAGATAGCTTATATTCTTGTTGGGTAAATAACCGTGGTCATTAAGAGCATAGAAGCTTCAGAGTGATAATGACATTAAACTTATTTCCCATTCTCCTTGCGTTGTGATAGTAGTAGTGGTTGTAATACAGGTAGTTACGTAATGATCCTGTATAGTGTATGCAGTGTGGTAGGCAAAAACTAAGTGCTTTGCATGTATTAACTCACTTAATCCACACAACAACCCCATGAGATAGATACTGTTATCCTCATTTACTGATGAGGGATTGAGGTAGAGAGAGGTTAGTAACTGACTACTCCATAAGTACAAAGAACTGGGAAGCGGCAGAGCTAGGAATTGATCTGAGGCAGCCTGGCGCCAGCGTCCTTCCTCCTAACCATTATACTGTACTGTACTTAATCGACACTCATGTAAGTAAAGGGAAATGTGAGATAAAAAATGCTTTTAACATCTTTGTGGGCTCTATGGAACTTATTATTTGTTCATTCAATGCTCCCTTGTAGAATCAGTGATTACAGAGAGAACATTTAATCTCAAAGCATTCATCCCTATTTCTAAACTAGTATTTTCAGATCTGTTCTCCATCTGAGACCTTGCATTTAGAAGTACATTTGAACTTTTTAGTTGAATTGGCAGATCAAGAGCTTACAGACAGGATATTGCCTTTGAGTATTTAGACTGCATGTGCTGACCCCCTGAAGCAGTAATTTGGTTAGATCACAATGTTTCCATTAGAGTACAGCAGTATTAGGGGTTCTGACTTCAAAGTGTGTATGTGTGTGTTTTATATGTATCTTTGTAAATAGGCCACTTCTCTATAAATGGAGCCAAGATTCTAAAAAATCTCTCAGAGCCATTTAAATCCAAGAAATACCTAAGCATTTGAAGTAGAACTATGAGCAATGCAAAATGTTACCTTTCTGGAGACTTGTGATAAGTACAATAAATAAAACAATCTGCCCATTTTTAAGCCTAAAGAACCTCCAATTAATCTTGAAGAATTAGTTCTCAGTTGAGCATTGATTTACATACACTTTTTATCTTGAAGTCTAAGCTAATAGCTACTATTTGATAAGAAAGTCAATGTTCTGTTTTCTTCTGCTTCCTTTGTCTTAGGTTTTTGTGGGTCTGCTGTGCTCTGAACACGTAGGCTTAGAACACATCTACCCTGTGGCTTTGGGTCAGTCACGTGTTTGGCTGGAGGGCAAGTGTGCCTTTTAAGGAGGCAGGTGACTTTCTCATGCCTATTTTTTTTCCCCTAGGTTTATGAAGGCCTAGACATCATCACCAACAAGGTTTCTGCCCAAGAGCAGAGAATGTGCCAGCACCACATGATCAGCTTTGTGGATCCTCTCGTGACAAATTACACAGTTGTGGATTTCAGGAACAAGGCAACTGCTCTGATATCCTTAGGAAAGACAGCAACTAGGTTCGGTGGGTGCCAGGCAGTCCAAGCCAAGAAAGAAGTTTTCATTTCAGTGACAGTTTCTTCTAAGCCAAGACTTAAGAAGAACCAGTAGGCAGCACCCCCATCAGAACTATATGGATCAAAAGATACAGTACCCTTGCTTTTCAGAGTGTTGTCAGACTGCAGTACCAGCCATCCCTTGGGTGCTTATTAGAAATGCTGAATTTGGGCCTCACTCCAGAACTACTGAATCAGAATCTGCATTTCACAAGAGTCCCAGGTGATTTATATGCATATTAAAATTTGAGAAGCTGTTTTAATGGAGAGAACACTGATTTAGGAACTAGAAAATCTGTGTTCTAGTCCCAGAACTGCCTCTTTGGACCAAGTGAATTTTACTGGGTAGAACATTTACCCAATTCATCTTCAGTTTCCTACCCTTTAAATGGGGATACAAAATCAATTTACAAATATAGTGGAGTTATAGTTAGAATTTAATAGGGATTATTGGGTGGGGGAGGACAGCTAAAAGAAGATTTTTTTTTCTGTGATCGGTGATCTTTGATTGATTGATTGATTGATTAAGTAGATTGTACGCGCAGCATGGAGCCCAACATAGGGCTTAAACTCACAACCCTGAAATTAAGACCTGAGCTGAGATCGAGTTGGACGCTTAACCAGCTGAGCCACCCAGGTGCCCCTTGTTATTTATTTTTTTAAATTTAATTCCAGTATAGTTAACATATAGTGTTCTATTAGTTTCAACACCAATATATTTTGAAGAAAGAATAATATAAGGGGGGGGGCTGTCCTTATGGTTTTTTTTTTTTTTGTTTTTTTGTTTTTTTGTTTTTTTTTTTAAAGATTTTATTTATTTATTTGACAGAGAGAAATCACAAGCAGGCAGAGAGGCAGGTAGAGAGAGAGGAGGAAGCAGGCTCCCCGCTGAGCAGAGAGCCCGATGCGGGGCTCGATCCCAGGACCCTGGGATCATGACCTGAGCTGAAGGCAGAGGCTTTAACCCACTGAGCCATCCAGATGCCCCTGTCCTTATGTTTTAATTGTCCAGGCTTCCAGATGGGGTAGCTGGCTGGCTTAGTTGGTAGAGTATGTAGTTCTCGATCACCAGTTTGTGAGCTCAAGCCCCATGCTGGGTATAGGGATTGCTTTAAAAAATTTGGACTGCCAGATATTAAGATATGAGGAAAATTCATCATAATTATAATAGTATTGAACTTATGCTGGGCAAATTTATGACACAGAATAGAAAACTCAGATACAAATTAAAATGTTTATATATATTTATCTTATGATCAAGGTGGCATTTAAAACAATAGAGAATACAGGGGCGCCTGGGTGGCTCAGTGGGTTAAGCCTCTGCCTTCAGCTCAGGTCATGGTCTCAGGGTCCTGGGATCAAGCCCCACATCGGGCTCTCTGCTCAGCGGGGAGCCTGCTTTCCCCTCTCTCTCTGTCTGTCTCTCTGCCTACTTGTGATCTCTCTTTCTGTGTCAAATAAATAAATAAAATCTTTAAAAAAAAATAGAGAATACAGTAGTTAATATTCTTGGGACAGCTAATCTTTTTGGAAAAAATAAAATCATGACCTCATTATGTATGACATAAATTGCAGATGGATTTCAGAGTTAAATATATGTATTTTTAAAACTTTAAAACAAATGGGATAATAATTGAGTAGTTACGTGATTTTCGAGTAGGGAAGGACTCTGTAGATACACAGTTACTAAAAAAGTTCTTTTTTTAATTTTTATTTATTTATTTGATAGAGAGACACAGCGAGAGAGGGAACACAAGTAGGGGGAGTGGGAGAGGGAGAAGCAGGCTTCCCACCGAGTAGGGAGCCCGATGTGGGGCTCGATCCCAGGACCCTGGGACCATGACCCCAGCCGAAGGTAGACGCCTAACGACTGAGCCACCCAGGCGGCCCTCTAAAGAAGTTACTTTAATGGATTTTTTTAACTCAATTTTTTCATTTATTTTACTGTGTTAAATACACACAAAATTTACCACTTAACCATTTTTTTTTTTTTAAAGATTTTATTTATTTATTTGACAGACAGAGATCACAAGCAGGCAGAGAGGCAGGCAGAGAGAGAGGAGGAAGCAGGCTCCTTGCTGAGCAGAGAGCCCGATGCGGGGCTCGATCCCAGGACCCTGAGATCATGACCTGAGCCGAAGGCAGAGGCTTAACCCACTGAGCCACCCAGGCGCCCCCCACTTAACCATTTTTTAAGTGTACAGTTCAGTTGTATTGAATACATTCACATTGTCGTGCAACCATCACTACCATCCATCTCCATAACCTTCTGGGTTTTGTTTTTTTTTTTTTTTTTTTTTTTTTTTTTAAGATTTTATTTATTTGACAGAGACCCAGTGAGAGAGGGAACACAAGCAGGAGGAGAGGGAGGAGCAGGCGTCCTGCTGAGCAGAGAGCCCGACATAGGGCTCAATCCCAGGACCCTGGGACCATGACCCAAGCCGAAGGTAGATGCTTACTGACTGAACCACCCAGGCACCCCTGTTTTTGTTGTTGCTGTTGTTGTTGTTTTGTAAGATTTATTTATTTGAGAGAGAGAGAGCACGAGTGGGAGGGTCAGAGGAAGAGGTAGAGAGAATCCCAAGCAGACTCCCTGTCCTATATGGGGCTTGATCCCAGGACCCTGAGATCATGACCTAAGCCAAAACCAAGAGTCATGGATGTTCAACTGACTGTACACCTAGGCACCCCTTGCCTTTTTTAAACAAAAGTAGCTAGCTTCCAGTATATTCAAATTAAGAATTTGTGTCAGCAGGAATATATATCAACCAGAACTAGGTATCTACTGTAGAGTAACCTTGCCAAGCGTGTGAGATAGGTGATAGATGTCATTCATAGCAGCATTGCTTTTAATGGCAAAAACAAACACCTAAATTCTTACTTACAGAAGAATGTATAAAATTTGCTTTGTTCATATAAGTACTTTTTCAGCAGTGAAAATGAATAAATTGTACCTACATGCAGCAGTCAATGTGGAAGAATCTCAGAAACAATAAAATGTGAGAAATTATAGACATTCATACCATATACATTCATACCATTTATCATAAAAGTTAAAATGCAAGCAAAACAGGGGTGCCTGGGTGGCTTAGTCAGTTGAATCTTCAGCTCAGGTCATGATCCCAGGGTCTTGGGATCGAGCCCCACATCTGGCTGACTGCTCAGTGGGGAGCCTACTTCTCCCTCTCCCTCCACTGCTCCCCCTGCCTGTGCGTGCACATGCTCGCTTGCTCGCTCTCTCTCTCTCTCTCTCTCTCTGTCAAATAAATAAGTAAATAAATAAACAAAATCTTAAAAAAAAAAAAAAGCAAGCAAAACTAACCAATATATTTTTGAGGGAGTTACATACACATAAGGAATAATGTAAAGAAAAGCAAGGGAATGATAAGAAAACCAGACAATTCAGGATAGCAAATCTCAGGTTTCCCCACAGAGAGGGGAAATAGGGAGTTGGGATGGGAGTGAATACATACAAGCTTCAAAAGAATTGGTGATACTCCTTTTTTACATTGGGCTCATGAGTATATGTTTATTATTAAGCTTCATAATTTACATATGTTCTTTTATTTGTATTGAATATTTTATAATTTAAAAAAAATTAGCTCACTATAAACAAAATTAAAAAACACTACAGGCCAGAGGAAAAAAAGTTTGTAACATAGGAAAGGCAAATGGTTAATATCCTTAATATATAAAGAACTCATATGAATCAATATGAAAAATACTTAAAGGGCCTGAGTAGTAATTCACAAAGGAAGAAATACAAGTGATGGTAAACATGAAAAAGGGGTTTTAGCCTTGCTGTTTAGACCATGCAAATCAAAATAATGAGATCATATTTTTTTGCTATCAAATAGGCAGAGATTAAAAAGGCAGATAATTCTTGCCTTACCTGCTTTATGAGACAGTTGTATCAGGTGAGATAATATATATGAAAGCCCTTGGCATATTAAAACATATCACTAAATGTATATTGTTGCTTTAAGATGATTTGGTTGTTCAAAAAGAGCTGATAGAAAATGGTGTTTTCAGAGGGCAGTAAGGGATGACCCATCCCTTACAGAATTGGAGATTTCTGAGTTTAGGTAAGAACCTAAAATCAGAATGTCAGAACTGAATACCTTAAGAAGTATCCAGTTCACCTTCTTGATTTGACAGGCTAAGTAAGGTTTAGATACAGAGGCCCAGAGAGAAAGGTTTTGCCCAGGATCACAGTTGTTTCATGGATTAGGCAAACAAGTTAAACCTTTTACCACCAAGTATCTCCTATCCCATCTCCTTCCCTCTTTTCCACTCTCTCTCTCTTTCTGGCATCTCACCATTTTCCCCTTCCCCTTTTACTTCCCTTGCTCCCTTTCCCTTTGTTAATCATAGTATATATTTGAATTTATGTTACATTTACTGTAATTGTATGCTCCCTGTACTTAAGAGGAGGAATATAGTATTTTTCTTTTTAAAAAACAAATTGAGAGGGGTGCCTGAGTGGCTCAGTCGCTTAAGTGTCTGCCTTTGGCTTAGGTCATGGTCCCAGAATCCAGGGATGGAGCCCTGGATTGGGCTCTCTGCTCAGCAAGGAGTCTGCTTCTCCCTCTGCCCCTCACCAGTCTCTCTCTCGCTCTTTCCCTCTGTCTCTCTCAAATAAATAAAATCTTTAAAAAAAAACCAACAGGGGGCGCCTGGGTGGCTCAGTGGGTTAAGCCGCTGCCTTCAGCTCAGGTCGTGGTCTCAGGGTCCTGGGATTGAGCCCTCCATCGGGCTCTCTGCTCAGCAGGGAGCCTGCTTCCCTTCCTCTCTCTCTGCCTGCCTCTCTGCCTGCTTGTGATCTCTCTCTGTCAAATAAATAAATAAAAAAAAAATCTTAAAAAAAAAAAAAAACCACCAACAACAAATAGAGAAAGAATGTTTCTTCTTTAAGATCCTTGATTGGTAACAGCTTTCTTCTCATCCCACCCCAACTTCTTGGGGTTCGTGGGCTTCTGGTAGAAAAGAGGTCATCTATCTTTGTGCCCACAGATAGGCTGGCAAGGGAAGAAATGCATAAATGAGTCTTTGTCTAGGTTGAAAGTCTCTTTTTATCAATTATCCTCAGAAGCAAAGCCCTTCATAAAGCAGATAATTATCTGTTCAACAGGGATTCTAAAGAGAAGAATTCAAAATAGCCGGGATATAAAAACAATAGTGGCTCAAGTTAATTCAGTGCTTACTCAATTGAAAGCAAATATTTCAGACATCGTGGTAGGGGATTTATGTGCCTTGTCACATTTAATGCTCCTTAGAATTCAGGAGAATTTTACAGGTGAGAAAACTGAAGCACAGGCTGGATAAGTTGTCAGAGAGTTGGATTTGGTAATTGAGATCTATTTGTCCTTGGAATCTTTGCTTCTCAGTTTATCTGGTGGAGTCTCAAGTGGGGCTGAAATGTGCAGTACTACCACATAATGATGGGGACTGACTGAGTCAGTCAGTTCTGACTGAGAACCATAGCACAGAGAAACCAACTTGTATTTTATCTCAGAAGGCAGTCCCACGATGGACGTCACCGTGGTGGCTTCCTGAGCAGCTAACACTTGGTTCACTGAGAGCCCTTGGGCTTGTGCTCATTAAACTGATTTGGAATACCAAGCAAGCTTTGAATTTTAGCAGCAAGGCCTAGAAATTTCTAGAACTGGAAGGAATTACCATCATGCATCTGTATATGGTTTGTGCAAGTCCCTCTAGAACAAATAGGAAATGCTTCTGAGAACTCATGGGAAACAGTGAAGACGGATATCAGTTCATCTTGGTTTCCACCCTTTCTCCTCTGTTCTCCAGACAAGTAAATGAATGTGGTTTCTTGCTAATACCTCCTTCCCAAGTGAGTCAGGATGCTCTTCTTGATATTAAATATTGTGATGTCTTTCTTAACATTCACATTGAAGATATATTTGCCCGAGACAAAATTCCTATTGTCGTGGGAGGAACCAATTATTACATTGAATCTCTGCTCTGGAAAGTTCTTGTCAATACTAAGGTATGTTTAGTTCACTTGTAAGTCACTGAGGAAATGGGTTCCTCTTTCTTGCCAGCTAATTTTAGTGGGAGGAAGGTTGACTCCTGTCTATTTCTTAAACTCAGCAACTGTAATTTTCTTACTTAATATTCTGAAGCAAATGCCACCTCCATATGTGAAGTGTGCTCCTCCAGGGTGGCCTGAGGGCAGGGGCCGTGTGTGGGAAAAATGCTCCTCTGAATTAATTAGCATCTTCATGTAAGTTAACAGTACATCAGTCTGACTCAGCATTTCTTGGCTTTAACAATCTGTACATCAGTGAGATGTCTAACACTAACCCTTCTGACGGAGATGCTATTGCATAGGGTGAGACTTTGCAGACTGTAATGTGTGGGCAGTCCTGGTCCACCCTGGCCACTTGCTGAGAAGACTAGACTCCTGAATATGTTAATACAGATGTGTTAGCCCTGGTTTGTGTTTGTACTTCTGACAAGGAAGCAGGTACCCTAGCACTTCCCCGAGCAGGAAGTCCTCCTTTGTGTGCTGTGGCCTCACCACACTACCACAGTATATTGGAATTTTCTACGGTCTGTCTTTCACTCTATGGCAGGACCTTCTGGTTTCTCTCTGTTCTGTGTTCCGAACTCCTAGCAAAGTGCCTGACATATACACTGTTGCAGTACTTGTTGAACTGTTGAATTAAATTTACTTCTGAACCTTCTTAATAGCCCCATGAGATGGGCACCGAGAAATTGACCGACCGAAAAGAGCTTGAGAAGGAGAATGGCCACGTCCTCCACAAACGCCTAAGCCAAGTGGACCCAGAAATGGCTGCCAAGCTGCACCCCCATGACAAGCGCAAAGTGGCCAGGTAAGAGAGCCTGGGCCCACTGAGCCTGAGTCCCTCTGGAGTTGGGCAGTCAGTTCTTCAGTGTGCCTGGGTAATGAGAGGAGTTTGGTAATAGCAGTTAGTGGAGACTGGTATGTTCCCAGCTCACAGGTTGCGAGGCCCTGAGGTACTGCCTCGGTCCAACTCCCTCAATAAATAATTGCACCCAACTTTGTTGTTAATTTAAAATGTATAATACAATGGAGTTTTCCCTAGGGCCTAGGTAATTGTGCTTCATTTTCTATTTGATCTTTGCTTGTATAACAGTTTTCATATAAATTTTTTTTGGCATGCAGTTGGTTTACATTGTGATTTGAGTTTCATAATTGATGGCGCAATGCTGAATTCTGCCCCAGCAGCTTTCCTAGTGGGAGGTAGATTTTATAAACTGTCTCATAGACCAGCTCACCTTCCCATGTGGAGGCTTTCTTGAAGGGAAGAGCGAGGTGGTGAATGAACTCATAAGGTCATGTTTTCTTAGGTTTGTTTTGAAATTGCAGCCTCGTCTGGTAAGTTTATTCTTCTGCAGTGTTGGGAGTGAAACCCTATCTAATGAAGTGGGGTAGAGGATCTGATGAAGGGTGGTTGATTACACAGATTAGATACTAGAGCACCATCTGGTATTGATAGGGATTATGAAGTAGTCCACTCAAATGAATAATCTAGATGAGTGTTTCTTAATCCTTTTTCACTGTCTCCCACCACCCCATATACACCCAGAGCCTTTTTAGAAAATTTTGTGCTAATTCTGCCTCCCTGCCTCCCTGTCCTCCATGGAATGTAGTACTAAAGAATAATATTTCTTTGGGTATGGTTGCACCTCGGAGTGTCACACACCATTGTACTGTCTAGGTATTTTTGCCTCCTTCAGAGCAGTGTCACCTCAGGTGATAATGCACATTTTAGATAAATGAAATTTATACTTCCAGTGTCCGAACATTTTATTTTAAAAAATATTTTAATAGAGATATTTCAAAAATTTTTGGAGAACAAGAACATTAATGATGAACATTTTTATGTTTTATGATGTAATTCTAGAGTTTGGTCTTTATAATTTTTTTTTTAAAGATTTTATTTATTTATTTGACAGAGAGAGATCACAAGTAGACAGAGAGGCAGGCAGAAAGAGGGAGGGAAGCAGGCTCCCTGCTGAGCAGAGAGCCCGACGTGGGACTCGATCCCAGGACCCTGAGATCATGACCTGAGCCGAAGGCAGCAGCTCAACCCACCGAGCCACCCAGGCGCCCTAGAGTTTGGTCTTTATTACCCTCTTTTTATTTATTTATTTTTAAAAAAGATTTTATTTATTTATTTGTCAGAGCAAGAGAGAGCACAAGCAGGAGAGGCAGCAGCAGAGCTGACAGAGGGAGAGGAAAAGGAGGCTCCCCACTGCCTTACCCACTGAGCAGGGAGCCCGATGTGGGGCTCAATCCCAGGACCCTGGGATTATGCCCTGATCATGGTGCTTAACTGACTGAGCCACCCAGGCTCCCCATCCTCTCTTTTTACTAATGAGTTTTATCTTATCACCTCTCTGCATTTTGCTGCTTATAAACTAGTAATGTGCCAAGAATTGTGTCTTAGAATCAGTAGCCTCTGAACAAGCGTTCTAGAGTCCCTTCTTCGGAGAGGACTGAAAGACTTTGTTCATCTTTCTTTTCTTTTCCTTTTTTTTTTTTTTTTTTTTAAGGTTTTTATTTATTCATTTGAGAGAGAAAGAGCACAAGCAAGGGGTGGGGGTGGAGGGGCTGAGGGAGAAGCAGACTGCCACAGAACAGGGAGCCCAATGCAGGGCTCCATCCTAGGACCCCAGAATCACAACCTGAGCTAAAGGCCAGCGCTCAACTGACTGAGCCAACCAGGTGTCCCTTATTTTTCTTTTATTTTGAGACTGTTTCCTAACCTCCAGATAATTGAGATTATCTGTTACCACAATTTTTCCTCATAGGTCCTCTTTGAGTGACCAGTGGTATGGAAAGACAAGGGTCTCTACTCTTGTGTTAGGGTTTCAGGAAGTAGAATTGGGTTGGGAGGGAAAGATCACTTTCAAGTTGAATGAATAAGTTGCAGTCACGCAGAGTGGTGGCGTGTAGATTTGAGAGTTGCATTACCTAGGGCTGCATAACTAATGGAGGCAGACAGAGTGGAGGTGGCTGAAGAGTAAGTATGTGAGTTCTTTCTTCAGTGGTCTTTGTGCTAGTAGAAGACCAAATCAGAAGTGTTCTTCGTTAATTCTAGACCTATGTAAAAAAAAGTTGATGAGCTGGATATACGACATACTTCTGTACTGTGGGAAAGGCGTTCCAGCGAGACTGGACTTGCTGGCTTGTAACAGTCTCCCAAATAAGCTCTTTTACTGCTTACCTGACGGTGAGTGAGTCCCATTCTGTTTGTGTGGAAGAAGCCTGCTGTTTTTGAACCTGAGTTTAGAAAAGTTAATGTATGTTTAGAAGAATAGTATTATTCTTACTTGACCTAAAATTTTCTTTGGGACTGTTTTCCGAGTAGCTGTAGGATTGGAATAACCGCAGACCTTCATGGCTTCAGGAGCTTATACAGTGAAAATGAGAAAGAGGTGGTTCTGTAATAAATAGCCTCTCTCCTTGTTTCATTTGAGAATCAGTATTTTCTAATGGTTTTTATGGGTGTGTTCCCCCTCCCCCACCCCTTTAAATGACTTAGGAGCTTGCAAGTGTTTGAAGAAACGGGGATCTCTCATAGTGAATTTCTTCATCGTCAACATGCAGAGGAAGGTGGTGGTCCCCTTGGAGGCCCTCTGAAGTTTCCTAACCTTTGCATCCTCTGGCTTCATGCTGACCAGACAGGTAAAAGTCCTTTGATGCCTTAGAGTCCATCTGAAATAGAGCTTATTTTATATATATATATATATATATATATATATATATAATGCCTAGAACCATGAGTGGGTCTTAATAAGCACTAAACAAGTGTTAGCTCTTAATTTTATAATTACCATGATTCATTAACTTATTAAGGCACAGTGCCTTTCCCTTAGCTATCTGTCTGGAAAGGGAAGTAGGTGCCCCTGGCACTAGGATAAGATACCAAGGATGGGATAAGAGGAGATGGATGGGTTGGGTAAGAGACTGCCATCCAGGGAAGGTCCGAAGAGAAAGAGAAGGAAGGCTTTGAGGAAGGAGGTCTGACTCCCTGGTTGGCTGGGTGGAGGCCGCAGACCTGAGAAATGGGTATGATGGTTAGCCTGATTATGGTTTGGTGGGGTTTTTTTTTTTTTTGGTAAAGTATGATAATGCCTTGTGATAGTACTAACTTCTCCATCCAGCTAACATTCAGTAAGCATTCAATGAAGTGCCGGTATGCTGCATAGTTACTTAGATTTCAGAGATGAATGTGAGACCGTGCCTGGTTTTTAGGAGCTCCCGGTCTAGTGGTGCAGCAAACAAAGATAGCTACTACATTGTGCTAAATGCTAGGCTAGAAAGTACCTTGAGGCCACAGAGAAGGGATACCCATTTTTAAGGATAACCTGTGGGCTGGTCTGTATGTGAACAGGCAGCATAGTGTAGCGATTAAGAACATGGTCTTTGAGCCAAACTGCCTGGATTCAGATTCCTGTTCCACCATCTTCTAGCTGTGTGAGTTTCAAGGCAAGTTAGTTAACATTCCTGTGCCCCAATTTTCTCTTCTGTAAAGTGGAATTAATGTATTAATAATAATACATATATGTATTGAGGATTAGATGAATTACAAATACAAAGTGGTCAGATATGCATACATGTGATGAGTCCTTAATAAACAGACTTTTTAGGAGTATAGAATAAGAGGTTACTGTTACTGCAGGCTGAGCATTAGCAATGGCAGATAATGTAGAGCATGGTTGAAATGGTGAAAGTTTGTTAAATTGATCTCATATGCAAGTTCATCAAAAAAGGTAATTTTTTAAATGAAATTTTTGTGAATAAAAACATGTATTGCAGTTCAGCATAAAATAATGGAACCTGATTCATAATAAAGCTGATCACCACTTTTGGTCATAATAAAGTTTGACCATCACATCTGAATGATTATGACCCCTGACTCTTTGCTCCTTTGTCTGGCTCAGTAGTTCAAGATGTACCTAGGATGGCTTTGGATTAAAGTTCCTTGTTCCTATCCGCGGTGTCATCTGAAAGTTCTTAAATGTAAAAGAACACGAAGCTAGAGTAACAAATATAATGGAAAAAAGTAAGAAGGATAACCAAGGGGTGTCTTAGCTACCTCTAAAGTAAACAATGAATATACATCCATAATAAAATATTTGTCCTTCCTAATAGCTGTAACTGTATATTTTCTCTTTATATAATAAGACCTGTGGTTCGTTTTGTCTGTTTTTATTGAAGTGCGATCTTAAGTATGACATATATAATATGAGTTATGCTACAATCTTTGGACTCTGAACCCTTTCTTCCATTTGAACAAATGGTATTTCTTGTAGCAGCCTGTCCATTCATAATATAAGTGTCTAGTGGGCCACCTACAACAGGCTTGCTGGTTGAAGGGCTAATGTGATTGAAGTTCTAGATGAGCGCTTGGATAAGAGGGTGGATGACATGCTTGCTGCCGGGCTCTTGGATGAACTAAGAGATTTTCACAGACGCTATAATCAGAAGAAAGTTGCAGAAAATAGGTGAGGATTTGGCCATTTCTTTGACCCACTCTCCCTCCCTTGCTTTCAGTCAAAAGACCATAAATGTAATACTGGCTTTGGATCTGCTTGTAAATTAGCCTTTGTCCCTGGCATTGGCAAGGCTTGTTGTAAGGCAGTCTGGTGTACTTGTTACAGTTGCACTTTTCTAATCTGTCAGACATTCCTAGGAATGAATTTTCAAGAGAACTAACCAGGGAGCTGGTGGGGGGTGGTGGAAGAAGGAGTTTAGAGAATCTGTAACTGTTGAGGATCTCAGTTTCTCATCTATGAGATGAAATGGCTCAGCTAGATCTTCTCTAAGCCCTTTCAGATGGAGTGGCTCATCTGCTGATGCTCTCCTGTTCCCAGCCAGGACTATCAACACGGTATCTTCCAATCCATTGGCTTCAAGGAATTTCACGAGTACCTGGTCACTGAGGGAAAATGCACACCAGAGACTAGTAACCAGCTCCTAAAGAAAGGTGTGAATTCTTCTATCTAACCTAGTCTTGGACATCCTTGGGTCGCAGAGTGCACCGCTGGTATGGTCTGAGAAAGAGCTGAGGTCAGAAGAGTCCCAAATGGCCTTCTCCCAAATGGCCTTCAACTCAGAACTGAGATTTTTGTCTACCACGTATACTCCAGTGTGCTGCTTTGGTTGATTTCTCTCCTGCTGGGCTGGGAGGGCTTGCCTTTTGGCTGGGTCAGAACTTAGAGGTTCTTAGATCTACCTTATCTTTCAGGTATTGAGTCTCTGAAACAAGTGACTAAGAGATATGCCCGGAAGCAAAACCGATGGGTTAAAAACCGATTTTTGAGCAGTAAGTCTCATGTTTTTCCTTATCCCCTGGGTCCATTTCCAGTAGAATATAGATCCTTAGCTCACCCAGAAAAGGAACTTTAGTTTCTGGACCTGTCCTAAGCTTTGGGGACCCGATCTGGGAGAGGGCTACTGCAATAATGACTGTGCAGGATACTTCTTCGTAATGTCTCAGAAAACAAATGAAATCTTTCCAGTGAGGGGTTGAACATCCGGGTGGTAGCTACAAACAGGTAAGAGCATACTAGCAACACCTCTATAGAGTTGGTGCTCAAGGGTGTCTTCAGCTTCAGGTTTTGTACCTGAAGTGCAGTCAGATTTCTTTAGGGAGGCTTTCCTAATTCACATGGTTCTCAGGCATCTGGCTGGCTTAGTTGGAAGAGCATGTGACTCTTGATCTCAGGGGTCGTGAGTTTGGGCCCCATGCTGGGTGTAGAGATTACTTAAAAAAAAGAAAGAAAAGAAAAGAAAGAGTAAAGATAGAAAGAAAGAAAATGGTTCATAGACCAGATGAGCAGTTGCAAAAGTCAAACCTACATCCGTGCTCCCAGCGTTGCCTTCACTTTCCGGTACGTGGTGCTTCCGAGTGCTGCAGCTTTGCCTTCAATTGAATAGCACTTTTAAGGAGCAGGGAAGGAAATTCTCTTTCATTTGACCTTGTTCTGTGTCTTTTAGTATATGTGCAAGCACTGTGTCATTGACACTAAATTTGGTGCTATACATATATTACTGAGCCTGTGAGGTAGGTGTTATTCTTTTATTTTTGCAGATAAGGCAGAGGAGGCTTCAGGAAGTTAAATATATTGCCAAAAATCTGCCAGCTGAATAAGCAGTATTGATTACAGGCCTGACACCCCCCCCACACACACACATTGTACTTTTTAGTGCTCTTCTTGTTTCCTATAGCCATAACTTTAGCTAGACAGCATTGCTTTTGGGCCTCAGGTAAGAAATTGTGCAGTTATAAGCTAAAAGGAGATTACCTTAAAAGAGATTAAGTGAAACACCAACTTTATCTTATGGACACTTCTTAAATATGCTTCTGAATCATCTCCTGTTTGCCTTTTGCTGTTAGATTTCTGCTTTCAGTTATAGATAAGGACAGCTGTGGCCTCCCCTCTGCTCTTCAGGGTCTCTGAACAGAAACATCTCGATCCGTGTTGTTGACCACCAATAGCTGAAGTTCTTTCTCCCACACTCGCTCTCAGCCAGGCATCTCTGGGGTAGTTCTGGCACCAAGGGGCTCTTTATACTTCCTTCTACTTACCCTGCTTTCTCTGCATGTCCTGTCAGATAGGAGAATTCTTGGCTTCAGCTAATACCGAAATCGAATTGTATCAACTGAAATTCACTACTACAGATTTCTAGTGCAGCTTCTCTTCTCCCCAGGGCTAACAATTAGTCTGTAACAAAAGATGTTTTTTGTAATGAATTGAGACTTCCCCCTGTGGTAAAGCCACAATAACTCCCCCATCTCTGAGTCAGGAGGGATTGATGGCACAGTGCATCATCTGCCCATTCCTCATTCATGTGTATGCCGGCTCAGTCCTGGTGCTAGAGTGAAAGGCACAGCTGCCTTGTAAACCAGGAGCTGTGTGTGATTGGCCAGGGCTAGTCTGCTGGGACATGGCTCTGGCAAGAAGCCAGAGGGACTTCCCCGCCCCAACTTGGCCTTGGACCCAAGCCAGAAATAGCAGCTGGGAGCCGAGAACTTGTTGAAAGGTGCTTAGACAGGGCACAGAAACCCAACAAAGGACTCAGAGGGGAAAGGAAAATATAGAGTGGCCTGGAAACAGGTGCAGAGCTTAGCCAAGGCCAGGTGTGCTGTGGATGCTGCCTGCACCCTCCCAGTCTCACCTTTCCGTGTGGTGGCAGGTGCAACGCAGTCCATTTTATGAAGAATCTTACTTGTGGTTGGCACAATCAAAAGGCCAGCACCTGCCAGCCGTTGGCATCCAAAGGACTTTGATGTTTTTGTCCATGCGGAGATGCTCTTTGCCTTTAGACAACTGACTTGACCTAGCTATAGAAGGCAATTTAGTGTGTCCATTGACAGGGGAAGCTCCCAGCAGAGACTAAACAGTGTTGGCTCCAATGGACAGAATGCCTGTAGCTTTACTCTAGGCTATCCCTAGTCACCTCTCCATTCAGAAGTATTTACCAAAGGGTGTTTCTTGAATACTCCTCTAGACCTGTTTCCTGAAAGAAGGGGCTCAACTAGTTCAGTCAAGGCTTCTTTCTAGTTCTCAGATACAGTGGCTCATTGATAGATATTCTTCTGTCTCAGTCCCTGAATATCCTTATGGTATCAACAAGTTTCATGAATGCCATACTGCTGAAGGGATATATACAAACCTGAGACTAGTGTCTGCTCCTAAAGAAAGGTGTGAACTCTCGCCACAAGAGGAACATCACTGTAAGATGATAGGCAACTTAGAGCAGGCATTTACTTCAAACTGTTAGTTTATTTACTCCTTTGGTATGCTATCTTCATATTGTAGCCCACATGGTTGTCACTAGAGCTGTTACTCTGTTCTGTTTTTCTGACTGATCTGGAAGATCCTATCTCTAGAAGTCTCTGGATTATTCAGGTAGACTAGTTGGCTACAGATCAGTAAACCTTCTAGGTCATTCTTGGATTGTATGTAGTTGTTTGGTTCATGTTTCTGGCTAGAATGAATGGCATGATCAGAATGTTTATTCCTCTGGCCCCTTTTATTTCCTTTGAGGATTTTGGAGTCCTGGGAGCAGAATTGAGTGGGTCTTTGAGGCTGACTTCTCACAATTTCTCTTTGTCATCATTAGGACCTGGTCCCAGTGTCCCCCCAGTATATGGCTTAGAAGTATCTGATGTCTCGAAGTGGGAAGAGTCTGTTCTTGAACCTGCTCTTGAAATCGTGCAAAGTTTCATCCAGGTGATTATTAATCACAGTACTGCGTATTGTCTGGCTTTCAGAGACCTTTCCTTAGTTGGCACCTTTGTTGGCAGGAAACCAAACTTTCTTTTTCATGGAATAGAGCAGAAGAGTTGGCTGCTTTTAGATCTCTGGAGGCTGTGTTTCTACTTTCACATTTACAAAGGTTGATAAAATCTATCTATAGTCCACCTGTTCTGTGGGAAGAGAAAAAGGAATCTTGGGAAAATCCCACTTCCCTTAATAATCAGAGAATGAGATCCAAATCTCTCTGAGTCGATTGCTTCTCTCCCACCCTGCCACCCCCACCCCCCTTGTTCTTTCAGGGCCACAAGCCTGCAGCTGCTCCAGTAAAGATGCCATGCAATGAAATGGAGAACAAGAGAAGTTACCACATGTGTGACCTCTGTGATCGAATCATCATTGGGGACCGTGAATGGGCAGGTGAGTCTGGGAAGGGCACGGAGAACTGTAAGGGTGATTCACAGTGACCTTGTGAAATTTAAGGTCTTCGATGGGTTGAATGCTAGAGTGTGCTTATTTGTAAAGGGACGGCCAGATTCCTCTAAGAGCCCCTAAGTACTCAAATTTCATAGAGACTTTCCCATTTTGGTGAGTTATCTTTGTATTCTGAATTTCAAAGGAAGATCATATGCGCTCCATCTTCAGCTAGAGTAGATATTTTATTTATTTTTTAAGATTTTATTTATTTATCTGACAGAAGAGAGAGCACAAGCACAAGCAGGGGGAACAGCAGGCAGAGGGAGAGGGAGAAGCAGGCTCTGCACTGAGCAAGGACCGCCCCCCCAAGGTGGGGCTCAGTCCCAGGACCCTGGGACCATGACCTGAGCTGAGGGCAGACGCTTAACTAAACTGAGCCACCCAGGGGCCCCTAGAGTAGATATTTTATACTGAGAGATCTGCAGTTAACTTTCCAGAGCTCCTTTTACTTTCCTGATCCTACCTTCTAGGAATTTCTTGGCCTTTCATGTTTAGAACTCAGTGTGGATGAGGTGAGATTGTAAGGGAAACCAGCCAACTCACCCAAGAGACCAAGGAAGCAGAAACAGCTGGGAGGGTGGGGGGAGTTCAGTTACTCCTCCTAAGTACAGTCTTTGAAAATGGGGTCTCTTTGGTAATTTGTAAGGTAATATATTGAAATGGTGGTGATTGCTAAAGCTGTGATGAAAAGTGTTAAGCTGTGAAAGCAGGGGCACCTGGGTGGCTCAGTAGGTTAAGTGTTCAACTCTTGGTTTCAGCTCAGGTCATGAACTGTGCTCAGCGGGTAGTCTGCTTTGGGGATTCTCTCCCTCTGCTGTTACTCTGTCCCCACCCCCTTCCCCATGTATGCATACACACTCTGTCTTTCAAATAAATAAATCTTTAAAAAAAAAAAATCTTAAAAAAAAAAAGATGCTATGAAAGTCAGACTTGTATAAAGGAGGTGGCCAAAGGGTGATGTCTTCTTTAAAGGTACTCCTGACTAAGCAGCATGGGCCCTGACCTTAGGCTCTTTTTCACTATTGTAGAGCCTGGATTCACCTCTGCCACAGAGTCACACTGAACTCCCCTCTCGGGTTCTTGCAGTCCTCTAGTCAAAGCCCAGAAAGGGCCAGGGCCTCCCAAGTCTTAAGTTTACATTCTGTTTGGAAATTTTTTTAAGGCTCACTCCTTTTGAGCACAGTAGGGCTTGTAGGGACCCAGTGGCTAGAATCCTGTTCAGAGCACTGCCTTGCATGGGATTCTCCTAGAAATAGAGTTTTCTCCCCATACCAACCAATAGAATAATTAGTTCTGTTAACTGGTAATGCTGGCAAAATGAACTCCATTGTCAGAGATTGGGGATGGCGTGATTTGCCCAAGCAGCAGAAGAAGCCTCGATTGTCGTTGGTTTATAATGATGAAAGGGGAAGAGAAAGAGAGTGTCTGATTGTTTTTTTCTAAAGGAAACTTAGTGGTTCAGTTTGTCGAATGTCCTTCAGGGATAGCCTTAAAGAAACAACATTTGTGAGCCTTTGTGAGCTTAGCTTGTGTGAGCCCTTCTATAGTGCCATCTGTCAAATCCTTGCTCCCATCTCCTGCTGCCATGGAGAGCCAGGCCAGAAGCCCTTTCTTGCCTTAGGCTCTAGCTGGAGAATAAAGCTGACTTTTTTCCCCCAAGTAAACTTTTCTACCTCTTCCTACTTGTTTTTTGCTTTGAAACCTTAAAATGATGTTTTTAATAGATATCAAAGATAATTTAATCTTGTTGTCTACACCTTTAGAGGCTTCCAAAGAAAATCTCCTTGAAAAAGAAAAAGTAGAAAGAAGCTAGTATGAGGATGGGAACAGTTTTCGTGGTGAGAGGTCAGAAATTGGTATCAGGCTACAGTGACCTTTCAGTTTTACTGCTTCTGTGGGCTCTCAAAAAGGATTGGCCGACAAGAATGCTTCCTGTTATCTCTCTGGAGCATTGTGTGCTTGGAGAATGGGAACCTTGTGGATTAGTCATTCAGATGGCTTGTCTAACCCAGGCAGAGGGATGTCAGATCAGCAGGGGTAACCTGTGTGAGCAGGAAAGAAGTGCAAGGACAGCTCTAGGTCTGATGTGGGACAGAGCATCTGTTCTGCAATATAGACAAGGATTTGGATTTGTAACTTTTTAGCTGAGTGAGTTGAAAGGTAATCTATCTGTAACAAGAAGCCACGTTCTGGAAAATTGAGTCTAGAGCCCTGATTTTCGAAAGTTTCGTCTCTTTTTGGACTATAGGTGAGCCGAAGAACTTACCAGCTGTGTGTCCTTGGACAAAATCTAAGTCCTTGGTGAAATTCAGTTTCCTCCTGTATAAAATGAGCTGAATAATACTGTCCTGCAAGATGGCTGTGAGGGTTAGTGATGTAAAGCCCCCAGCAGGATACACTGACTACATGGTAGCTTGCTGGCCATGTAACTTCGCCTTCCCTTAAAAATGCTACGCAGCTCTACCAGTATGTGTTGATCCTGTTATTGTTAAGAAAAGGATTATATAGTTAGTTTTGTATGCTTCTAGGATTGATTCTAGAAAGTTCTAATGAGTTGTTTTTGTTTTGTTCTGTCTTAGCACATATAAAATCCAAATCCCATTTGCACCAACTGAGGAAGAGAAGAAGATTGGACTTGGATGCTCTTGCTACCATTGAGAGTCAGAGTATTTCTCCAGACAGTGACAAAGAGCCCGAAGAGAAAGGGTCCCCAGGGCAGAATGAGAAAGAGCTGAAATCTGGTGTTTAAAGAGAAATGTCCAGTAGTAGCCTTTGCACAGGTAGGGACCCAGTTCAGGAGGGAGGGTTATGTCTGTGTCCCTGTCTGGACTGAGCAGTGCTACGCAGAAAGCCCCCACGATTTTCTTTTTACAGTGGTGTAGTTTCAGTGTTCTTTGTCATGGAAACAGCAGGACTTGTTAGCTCCCTGTTTGGCTGATGTGCCTGGTAATGATGATTTTTGGAAGGAATTTTTTTTCTTTCAACCCAAAAGGTTCTATTTTTGAAAGAGGCACAGATTGCACTTTTTAATACTTGAGGATCTTTTTGGTAATGAATACCTGAATTTCCTATATCCCTTAAAAAAGAAGTTTTATGTCCCTGACTGTGGCTAAAAATATCTCATTTCCACTTCTATAAAAGATGACTGAAGTATTGTGAGCCACAAATCAGGAGTTTTGGATTTGGGTGAATGGCAGGAAAGGCCCAGCCCCAGTGAGATGATTAAGTGAACTCAGCCAGTTGTTGGATTACACTGAGAAGGAGAGAAGGAGGTGGTCATGATGTGGCTTGAAAACTAAAGACTTTGACATTTGTTGAGCTCCTCCTGTGTGATAATTACTATCACTGCTATCTTTTTATTGAGTTAAGAGTCTATATTTTTATTAGAAGTTAAATAAAGAAAAAGTTTCTAGGAGTCTCTTTAGTCCTTAAAAAATATATATATATACCATGTCTAGTTTATACATAGTAGGCTCTGTAATCAATATACATGATAGCATTGGGACACCAGGGGGCTCAGTTGGTTAAGCATCCTAAGGGCGCCTGGGTGGCTCAGTTGTTGGGCGTCTGCCTTCGATTCAGGTCATGATCCTAGGATCCTGGGATCGAGCCCCACATCTTGACTCCCTGCTCAGCAGGAAGCCTGCTTCTCCCTCTCTCACTCCCCCTGCTTGTGTTCCCTCTCTCGCTGTGTCTCTCTCTGTCAAATAAATAAAATCTTAAAAAAAAAAAAAAAAAAAAGGCAAAAAAACCCCATCCTATTCTTGATCTCAGCTCAGGTCTTGATCTTCATGTCCTACGTTGGGCTCCACACTGGGCTTAGATCCTACGTAAAAAACAAAACAAAACAAAACAAAAACATGATAGCCTTTTCTCAAACTTAACATTCGTCTTAATGATCGTACTGTCTAGTCACTATTTTTTTTTTTAAGATTTTTATCTATTTATTTGACAGAGAGACAGCAAGAGAGGGAACACAAGCAGGGGGAGTGGGAGAGGGAGAAGCAGGCTTCCCACTGACCTGAAAGTCTGATACGGGGCTCAATCCCAGGATCCTGGATTGAGTCGAAGGCAAACGCTTAATGACTGAGCCACCCAGGTGCCCCTGTCTAGTCATTATTTAGCAAATATTTATTGAGCACTTACTATATTCCTGGAAGACATAGAGGGTTATTGGCGATGTGTGATTTCTGGCAGTGTTGAGTATATGTGTATATTTAGCATAAAATTAAGCATTTTTTTGTTTATAGTTCAGCAGCATTAATTATGTTCATAATGCTATGCAACTATCACCTCTATTTCCAAAATTTTTCATCACCCCAAACAAGGTGTATCCATTAAGCCATAACCTCATTCAAGTAATACTTTATTTGTTCAGAATCTACTAGATGAGAGGCTAGAGGGAAAATGGAGATAAAATGAGATGTCATTCTTGTTTTCAGGGAGCTTTGTTCATACTGTACCAACAGCCAGTCTAGGGAAGAGAATATCTAAAGGCCATAAGAGGTGTGTATATACTTTGTGTATTATACTTTGGAGGGGAGGGAGAGAGGGGAAGAGGATCATGGAAGAAGGAGCATTTCTGCTGGACCTTAAAAAGCAGTTCTTGGTTAGCTGTGTGTAGGAGGAGAGGGTAAAGAACTATCAATCCTGGCTGACCTTTTTTAAATTTTTTTTTTTTTAAGATTTTTTTTTTTTTTTTATTTGTTAGAGAGAGAGAGAGAGAGCATGAGCACAGGCAGACAGAGTGGCAGGCAGAGGCAGAGGGAGAAGCAGGCTCCCCGCTGAGCAAGGAGCCCGATGTGGGACTCGATCCCCGGACGCTGGGATCATGACCTGAGCCGAAGGCAGCCGCTTAACCAACTGAGCCACCCAGGCGTCCCTGGCTGACCTTTTTTAAAACAGTGCTGAATTCCATAGCCTTACCTTTTTTTTCTTTTTCCTTCTAACATTTTTTAAAAGTCATTTTTTGGGCGCCTGGGTGGCTCAGTGGGTTGGGCCGCTGCCTTCGGCTCGGGTCATGATCTCGGGGTCCTGGGATCGAGTACTGCATCGGGCTCTTTGCTCAGCGGGGAGCCTGCTTCCCTCCTTCTCTCTCTCTGCCTGCCTTTCCATCTACTTGTGATCTCTCTCTGTCAGATAAATAAATAAAATCTTAAAAAAAAAAAAAGTCATTTTTTCCACTAAATTTGTTTACATAGTTCAAAATCAAAATGATATCAAAAGACATTCATTGAGGGGCCCCTAGGTGGCTCTCTGCTCTATCTCTGAAATAAATAAAATCTTTATTTTAAAAAAAGTGTTTTGTATTTGAAAGAGCACAAGCAGGGAGTGGTGGGGGGGATGGGGCAGAGGGAGATGCAGGTTTCCCACCCAGCAGGGAGCCTGACGTGGGGCTCCATGCCAGGTCCCTGAGAGGATCTTGACCTGAGTGGAGGGCAGACACCCAACCAACTGACCCACCTGGGTGCCCCTAAATAAAATCTTAAAAAAAAAAAAAAAAAAAGACATTCTTTGAAAATTTCACTCCCATCTCTATGCCCTTCTCCCCAAGTAGATACTTACTAGTTTTTTTTATCTCTCTCAAGAGTATTTATTGATTTATTTAAAAGATTTTATTTATTTATTTGACAGAGAAGCAAGCTCCCCGCTGAGCAGGGACCCTGATGCAGGACTCAGTCCCAGAACCCTGGGATCATGACCTGAGCCAAAGGCAGACGCTTAACGACTGAGCCACCCAGGGGGCCCTCAAGAATTTTTTAATGCAAAAATGAACAAATAGAAATATGTATCCACCCCCCCTCTTACCCAAAAGATAGCCTTTAGCACATACTCTCATCATCTGTCACCTCCCCTGTAAGCAGCATCTGGGTGAGCATGGATTTCTCCTGCCACCTCTGTCAGGTCTTTTGTGTTGGGCCTTAACCATTTATGCTAGATTCCCCAGTTAACTCCAGCAGGGTTCACTTACCTCATACACTGAACTTTATTCAGATGCTAGGGTTTAGGCCCAAACCAGTCTCTGACAAGTTCTTAAGCTATGGCCAGCCCATTCGTTCAGCCAGCAGATACCTCAGAACTTACCATATGCTTGGTGCTTTGCCAGACTCAGAGACTACAGTGGTGATCCAGAAAGTCCACACTGATTAAATAATTACTGAATTATAGCTGTAATAAGGTTGCAAAGAAATCACACTTGCTATAAGAGCAAGTAATCCAAAGCCTTGCGCCCCATCCCCTTGGTGTGTGGGAGTGTGTGCATGCGTTGGGGGAAGGCACGTGACACAACAGGGCACAGCGTGATGCTAGCTCAGGGTTTGGACCCAGGTCTGCAGATACGGTACGTCGTGACCTGGAAAGCTGAGGTTCTCAACGTGACTTCAGTGGCTTCTCCTCCCTCCTTCCGCACTCTGTGGGTGGAATATCCTGGACCCCTTGAGTTTTATTGAACTTTACCCATTTTTAATGACTTTGAATTTCAAGAATACATTTTTCTGAGCCAAAAGAGAAATTATCTTTGTATCCACCCCATGTTCTTTACATGGAACATAATATAGTTTTTCCCAGTCAGTTTTACATTAACTACTTCTGCAGCTAACAGAGCAGAGGTCACATCTTCCCATTGGAAGTGGGGACGATACTTATCTGTGAGTCAAACACAGTCTTCTCACACAGTCCTGGGAGGGAGAGGCTGTTTCTGTCCCCAGTAACCAGCGGGCAGAGGGACTGGGCCCAGGAGCACAGCACGGAGCAGCCGGCCCAAGCTGAGGCACTGTTAAGCTGCCTGTAATTTTAGGAGGAGCCTTCTCTCTGAAATGCTCTTCACTTAAGTCACTAAATGTATTTTAAAGCTTTAAAAAAAAGTTTCAGTGGAGAAGCAGGAAAAACTAGTTTTAATAATCCCACCTCCAGAAGCCTTTAATCCTTTCACCTGAAATACCTGGAGCAGCAGCTTCTCATTGAATCACTGCTATCTCTGTGGCAATTGGAAATCAGGAATTTCCTGAAAGAAAGAAATCCAAATGCCCAATATTTATGAAGTACCTATGAAATTTAAGGCACTGTCATCAGGCCCACTGACTCTGTTCTTAGAAACTGTAAATTCAACAAGATTAATTCCTTCACCATCAGCAGGGAGTGTAGGGAAGAGGAACACTCGCTAGAAATCAGCTTGGTGCCCCGATCTGAGGCCCTGCATTGAGGTGGATTTCCCCTTTTCTGCCTGCTACCTTCTGAATGACCTTGCTGTTGAGTGTAAGGAAGGAAAGTAGTTCTTCCTAGTGATTGTCATAAACATAAGGATGAAAGGATCCTCAGCACCTTCTTGTGCAGATGGGAAATCAAGCCCCGAACATGGATGTTCCATAGCCCTAGAGCAGGCTGTGGCAAAGCCAGGACAAAGCTCCACTTCCCTCTGTTACTTTTACTAAATATTTCATTCCAGATCTCATTTGAGAGCTGGAAAGGACCAGGGAGACCAGCTCTGGGCTATCTGTTCAGCCTGGATCGAGGGTGAGGAGTGCCATTTTGTACCATCTGGCCTCAGCTAATCCCCAGACAAGCCAATCCCTTTGGTCCAGGTGCTCAGAGTCTCCAGTCCACAGCAGTGCTCTCTAAATGGCTTTGGTAATTGATTCCAGCACTCAGCAAGCTATCTGGTCCACCTACCTTTGCCCCAGTTTTATTGAGATAAGGTCGAAAAAGAAAGTAAAAATCTTAACTAGGCTCTACACTTCTTGTAGTTAAGGTAATGCTGTTTTTAAGTGGGTAGGAAGTACTTCGACTCTGAATATCAGAGAGCTGGATTCTTAGTCTTTAAAATATTTTGCTTGATTTTTAGGACCAAGCAGGAAAACAGTTCATCTATAGGCTAGGTACGTGGTTTGATCCTTTGTAACCCTCAGTAACTATATTTTTAGCCTCAGTTCCTACAGAGAGGTTTTTCTGCTTAAAACATGACATTAAAAACACCACCAACAAAAAAACACTAGAAGGCAAGCTTTTATGAATGCAGTAACCTGTCTGTATATCCCCAACATGTGGAAAATCAAGTATTTGTTGAAGTAATTACATGAAAGCATAAAAGCTAAGTAGGTCTCTATATAAATGATCTGTTTTAATCATTAAATAACCTTAACCAGGATGAAGAAAATCTTGAGATAGCAGCCAGAGGAAGGAATTTCAGTATTTATCATGTGCTTGAGCAGTTAGGGCTATTTTCTAAAAAAGATGGCTAACGGGTCACTTGTAAAGCTATTCTGAATACGTACAAAGGAAGCTGCATGGTTGTATTAGTTAGGATAAAAGGCTAAGCTGCTATAACAAAGAAGCTCAACAATACAGTGGCTTAAGGAACAAAGAAGTTAGTTTCTTTCTCACATAACAGCTCTGGGGGGGTAGTTAACTTTTCTGAAG